TGGCAATGCAGATGGGTCTGCAGCACCACATACCGCATATCCGTGCTCATCTGGATGCAGCCTTGGTAAGTGTGGCACTTGGCGTTATGTGAAGCGTTAAAAAATAACTCCAAGTCATTTTTAAAGTCTCTCTGAAACATGCCTAAAGCCATTTTTCATTTAAATACAGGGCATACACAAAACACACCATAGTGCGGTGCGGTATAAAGCTTATATTCCTCCTTGTTTTGGGATATTTTATACCACAACATACTAATGTATATTCCCTACATATACTTTCATATACCCACAAACATATATATATATACTGGTATGTTTTTCAACATACATACTAATTTTATACAATACTCTCTTATTGCAATAGAAATGTACACTTTACTCACAAATTCAGGCTATTATTCCCCCCTCACAGTTATTTTACACACATAAACATGCTCGCTCACACACACACACACACACACACACACACACACAGACTCACCCCATGCTGCCTCTTTCTCCTGCTGCTATTTTTAATTATCATATTTTCCCACTCTTTGTAAATAATATCACACTTTTTATTTGCAAATGTCTGATAAAGCTTTAACTTTAAAAGGGCTGACTGTACAAAGATTGTCCATACAATTTTAAAGATATCACACAAAAAATGACATATAAGGCCATGTTTAATCTGCAACAGAAGCAAAATAAACAAGGATATAAGTCTATTTGTTTATAAGTCTAACTTTTCCCTTTGATTCTTAAGGTGTGTGGAGTTGAAGGGGGACTGTTGTGTCAGCCCAGACTGGTGCATGTGTCAAACTTCTGTGTTCGAAGCAAAGACAAGGGTAGGCTGCTTTAAGCAAAGTCACTATTCATTTTAAATATCCTGCATTTGTTAAAAGGCTTGTTCAAATTCTGTTGCTGAAGAAATCTGGGTAACCGAGAGCAGAATTTCTCTCTGCTTAATTAGACACAAGAACACTTTGTTTTTCCTATATAAGGCACAACGCTCCAGCCCTATAAAGAAATGGCCTGTCACAAGGGGTGGAAGAGAGGGACCCCAATCAAGATGTCAAGGAGGCACTGGGACTCATGGAGGCAAAATGCTTTCCCAATGGTGGAAATCCCCAAGCACGAGGTCTGCAACATGTAAAACCCACAGTATTCAGAGCTGAAGTTGGGTTTAGGAAGTCTTGTGTCGTCTTTCTGCACAGTGCTGAAGTTCACAAAAAGAGTGTAGCCACTGCCTTGTCTTTAGAAAGGAAGGGCTGCCTGGCACACGTTCACTTCCTCAGCTGGTGTGAGGAAGGGCTATCATCATAGAGTCCGATTTCCCCCTCCTAGTTAAGCCAGCTAATGCTGCTAGTGCCAACAGTGTCCCACCACACTGGACCTCAGATAATCATAGTTTTGGCCAAGATTTGCAAAATGGACTATGGCTTGGGCTGTCACAATTTGAAGGTGTTCAGCTTGAACTAATTTCGAGTCAGCTGATGTTCAGAGGATGGGTATTCAGAATTTTCTGAAAACCAGAATCTTGACGGACATCTCAAGTTAGGCACCCCAAATCACCAGCAACTCCTGAACATCTTAATTTAGAGTCACAATTGGGTTTCACTCTTGCAGTGGCGAATCACTTGGGGCTGCCCTTAATTTACTTCCAAGATTCCCACGCCTCACAAGCACCACATAAGACTAATATTTTAAACGTGGGAGCATTAAAGAACACTTGGTACACAGCTTTTTCCAAGATGGAAGTGGTCCTCCCTCCATTGGGACCACTGGGCAATATTTCAAAGTGTGTCGTTCCACGAGATAACACCATGAAATTCCAGGAGAGAGGTGGAGCACTGTGATGCAGATGGTAAAAGCAATTTATCGCTACAGGGCAGAGTTGCTGCTGCCATCTTGGAAAGTGTCATGTGGGAGGCTCTAGCAGGTCACTCAAAGTAGACACACGTAGGAGAGAATCTTTTAAGGCAACAGCAGAACACCATTATAACATGTATGGTACAGTACATGTCCTCTGCCTACAGCACCTAGACACAAAGTGTCTGTGAAAGACAGTCAGCCTCATCTCTGAATTATGACTTGTGTCATGCCCTTAACATTGCCTAAATGCACAGTAGGTCTGTCCATGTCATGGGCTACGCACAGATAGTCAAAAAGCCTGAGGCTGGATCAATTCGATCTTCGCAGGTCACTCTAAGCTGCATAGATTGAACTGATAAGCAAGTGAACAGACATTCGCTTTTGATTCCAGAAATGCAGCTACATGCCTGCAGTGGCCCAGGCCAGAAGCCGGGGGTGGGGAGAGTGGAGCATGCCTCCCTGCTCGGCTGGAGCAGACAGCTTGGGCCAAGGCTAGACCACCCACCCTGGGAGGGGGGGGTGCATAGGAGGTGCAAAGTATCCTGGGATGCTGGGGGACTGTGAGTTGAGTTAAATCTGGAGGGGATCTGGGACAGAAGTTTAATACACCAATTTAACCTAAACCTAAGTCTCATACTACAGCCACCCAGGTTTATCTTAAACCAGTTCTGGCCATTTTAAAAGTGGTTTATGTGCCTGAATTTCTTCTTGTGTTAAAAATCTGAACCACTTTTCGATCACTTATACCAGTTTATATGCAATTTCTGTCCCTAGCTATGGTGGTAAAAATACCAAGCTTCTCATAGGATGCAGACAAAAGTGCAGCTCCCTGCTGTAACTGAGAAGACTTTGCAGGAAGTGTTCTGACTTGCAACGATCCCTGGAGCAAACACAAGTTCACTGTTGGTTCCAGAGGGGAGGGAATCTAGGTACTGCCTGGGAGCCTGCAGCCAGTTTCCCTTAGCAATGGCCTCTCCTCTCTGTGAGGCTGTAAAGTTTTAGAATGGGAAGGGGGAAAAGGAGAAGAGGGAGCTTGTCCTAGGGGTTCCCCAGTCAGTGCTGGAGGGTGAGATGGGAGTATCGGAGCCCCTCCACCTTGGTGGGCCTCCAATACACCTGCTCAAGCCTGCAGAAGGGGTTGAAAAACCTCCAGACTGAACTCCCTTTGTTCCTTCCCCCCCATTCTGAAAACAGCTCAAGGCTGGCAGGCATCACAGACAGAAGTTACAGAAGATGCTCTGTTTTGAAATATCTTCATCTGACCGCTCATGCAATGGGGGTTCACATTTACACCCAACTGGCCATTTTTGAAGCTGCTGCAGCTGTGTACTTGTGCTTGGTTATGGTTATGAACTGCTTTCTGTGGCCAGATCAGCTGAAAATTGTCACTTTTCGTCTACGCCCATAGACATGTATGAGAGGCAGACACAATAATAGCTATAGCTCTTCCAGCCTCTCAAGGAAATGCCTGCTTCTTAAAACATAGGTTATGTACGCAGAAACTGCATACAGGCTTTCAAAATATGACTGCCTCATCTGGTAGCTCTTGTATAAAACAGTAAGCATAGCCAAATGATGCTGCTGAATGCTTGGGCATGACTGCCAGACATCAGTAGGACCTATGCAATGGCATCATATATCTCAATTTAGCTCTTAAGAACATTAGCTCTATGGCCGTCTATCAGCTCTGCCTTTCTGGGCTCTCCTCTAGAGGAGCAAGTATTTGATTTGCTAGACCGTGCAGGTCTCTAACAGCAAAATATCTGCAGTAAATGCAGAACATGGGACATTATAATCTGCACTCCACCCATAGTGTGCCCATTACAATCAACAGGAAGGCAGTGCAGGGAACAAATGCCAAATACAGCTCCCTTAGTGTGTCATCATTATGGTGCTTGGGGCTCAAATCCATGATAGTGCAGAGGGCCACAAAAGACTTTGCACTGGGCAATCGGCAGTCTGTAGATACAGCAAGCATTTAAGCACATGCTTAACTAAGCAACTGAGTAGTCCCATTGATTTGAATGGGACCACTCATAGGTCTGACTGAAAGGCTGCTAAAACCTAAGAGAAAAACTTGCATTAGCCTCAGTGGAGATTTTGGATTAGGAACTACATTCACAAAATTAAGTGGGTGTTTATGTGCTTTGCTTGATCAGAGCCAGAGTGTTTGGCTCTGAAGCTGGGCAAATCATCAGCTCTTACAGATAATGGCAATGACAGAAATCAAAATACAAACTGCTTTGACCCCTGCCCCCCTTAAAACACTTCTGAAAAATTTGCTTTGGGTCAAAAGAAATGTTTTGTTGCGATTTTAAGGGAGGCGTGGGGGGTTAATATTATTATTTTTAAATATAATTGAAAAAAAAAGAATTGAAGCAGAAAGTTATTTATGGGGGGGGGGAAACTGAAATATTTTTAACTTTTTCAATATGAGCGGCTGGCAAAACCAAGACACATTTTCAAAAGGTTGTTGTGTTGCTGAATTTACATTGTTCAGTGGGAAGAGGTTTTAGGGGGGAAAAAATTACGCAGCTCTGCCCTACTTTGTAGGATCAAGCTGTAAACCCTTAATATGGAATATGTGATGCACAGAACCGTGTGTCGACTATTCTTGCTGTGGTGAACTGAATCTCTACTGAATATTTTATGTTTATTAGCTGCTTTTATGAATAATAGAATTTGGCTGGAACATTTTCTCCCCAAACATTGAGAGACAGAAGCTCAGTGTATGAACGTACATCTCTAGTGACGTTTCACATTCCTTTTCAAAGCTAGAATTAGAATGGAGTCTATTATAATTAGAATTAAGTCTATCACAGGTCTGTGGTTAAACAAATGAATCAAGCCACTTTTTAAAGTAAATTGTGAAACAAATGTTCTTACAGGCCCAGGTGATTGCTACTGGGAGAGGGAAGACAAGGTGGGCAGAGAGAATGATCTGTTCCCAGCAAGCCTTTCTGGCCTGGGTTTAAATGGCAGAAGAGTTTTGAATGGAAGTAGTGGCACCCACCATGCCAGAGATGCTGCTAGAAAATTACACGTGGCTATTGCAAAAATGCATATAAATATATGACGTCCAAATGGATTAAATAAAGTACTGTTGTATGCTACACTGTTTATATTTGGAGCATGTCACCTATAAGAACCTGGAAAAAACCAATTATCTTTATTTGGATCAAAAATATGTATAGAAATGCCTGTTTTGAGGAAAATATCATACATTTTTTTCTTGTTTAACAAAATAAATTAAATATACATGACTTCTGTTTAAACTCTATATAGAATTACAAAAGTTTTATATTTGCGCTTGAATTTATTTCTAGTCCGTATAGACATTTAGCATGGTCCTTTAATTTATTTTTTCCTTTCTGGTTTGTTGTTGCTGTTATATAAATGGTACTGAAGTTAGGTTGTTTAGATGAACTGCAAAACATTATCTGGGGGGGGGAACACACACAATCCTAGGTGCATATTTAGCAAATGCATTCTTTCCCAAAACAGTTTTTATTTTCTTACTTTTTTTCTCTCTTTTTCTTTGTTACTTATCCATGTATTTTGCATTGACGTAATTAATCCGGTAGCTTGTCACTGTAAGCCACAAGCATCAGACTGAAAATCACAGCTATCGGCATCGGAGAAGGGCAGCATGGTTGGCTTTCTTGACCTTCAACAGTTCAATTATTATTATTAATTATTATTATTATTTCTTAAATATAAATATAAAGATGTTCTGTACAATGTCTTTCCTTCTTTGTTTTCCTGGCAGTGGCAGTAAAGTTTAGCATTGGGACGAGGTGAGCAGGTTAAAAGACTGTGAGACATACCCCAGAGGGGAAAACACAATACCTTTGATTTGCAGAAATGGCTAGCTCAGTTATCACTGATTGTTGGGCATAATGACTGTGGCTGAAAAGCATTTGGCGTTTCACATCTTAAATATCAATGTATTCTCCAAAGACTCTTGCTCTATTTTGTTCTTTCAGAAGAAGCCACTTGATTGTGTCTCCTGGTGCTTTGGCACTCGACCTCAGGTATTTTCTAGCTTCAGTCATGCTGAGGTAAAAAGGCTCTTCTGTACGTTCCCAAGAGTAAAAAGTCTGATAAGCCTAGCACCAAAAAACAGGTGGTATGTGGCAGAGGCAGGAAGACTGATGTCAAGCTGGAATAGCGTTGCGGTCTCCTTTTCTTCTTCTCCCTTTTGGCAATGCAACAGAGGAGGGGATGTTTCATGTCACAGTTTCTTGCCTTATCTGTTGCCATCTTGACTTAAAAATACAAGAAGGTTCTGTTGTTTTTAATGGCTGCTTCTGTGCTGAGACTGGGAATTCCTTCATTATTCCTCATTTACATCCTAATTGTAATAGGTATCTCTTTCGCTCTCTATTTTTTTTTAATATAGATATTTATATATATTTATATTTATATATATATCTTTTCTGCTTTGCTTTTTTTGCTGGCAGTTTAAGCTGACTTGAAGCAGTCTCTTTTGAGGTACCGTGAGAAAAAAAGCACAAGGTAGCTACTGAACAGGATGGCCCTTTAACACTGGTAATGAATGTGCTGATGCTGATGAACTTTACCTTCCACGTGTGAGTGAGTGTGAGTGTGGATGTCCGTGTAAATCTTTGGGTACATTTTTGATGCCATGGCTGGGGCCAATGCAGGTCCTTGAGACAGCAAATGCTGCTGCTGAGCTACATATTCCTCATAGTTTATGGAGGAGATGCAGTCTTTATCGGGAACCTGGGGGACACAGATCCTGTCTCTGGGCTGGGGTCTGTGCACTGGGGCTGCGGCTGGGGGAGAGCATGGCTTCTTCTTGGTTTGACACAGCCACAGGAGGATTGTCCCGAAGATGAAGACTGCTCCAGCAGGTATCCCAATGATTACTGGCCATGGGAGGCTGCTGGCAGAAGAAGGAGCAACGGGTGCGCTGGGTGGCTTAGGATCTGGACATCAGATTTGCACAGTGGAGAATGAGAGAAAGAGATGGAAAGGGTTAATTAAAACCAGTCAAGGAGGATTCAAAACAGATGTCAAACTCAGGCTGGCTTTCGTATAAGCTGTCTGACAAGCCAGCCATACCAAGTGCATGGGGAACACAAAGCTGACAGATAATGTTCAGTGGCTGTTTAGCTTTTGAAAGTCACCGAGAGAACAAACAAATCATTTTCTTTTGTTTAAGCCCTGGAGAAGGAGGGGGTGATCAGGGGTTATTTTGTTATGCTTTATTTTCCAAATTCCAGTGGCCACACTCGAGCCAGCCCAACAGATGGTTTCCTAGTGCTGGCGCTCAGAGATGGAGCTGGCTTCACTGCCCAGATCGGAAGCTGAAACGGGGCACGTGGCAGCGGAAGATGAAACGTGGGACGTGTCACTAATACCTTCCTCATTGTCAGCAGCTCAGAAATCTGAACGGTGTAATCTGGTAACGCAGACCAGAAGCATGTCCCCTGTTTGCCTCTGCCAGACGTGTGTTCATTAAGCATTTTTTATAGTCTTAAGCATCCCTAACTAATGGCAATTCATTTTCTTGGACCTCATAGTCACTCAGTAATGCTCACCCTGGCAACCAGGACCAACAGCGGAAATGTGGTACTTTATGGATGTGGTTTCTAGTGTCTTACCTTTGTGGGAAGGAAGCTTGGGGAACAGGAAAAAGACTGGTTAACTAACAACCCCTCCCACAGCACCTCTCGGTGCTCTGCTGAAGCAAATGACACCTAGGACCATGTGTGGCATTAAATGTCCTGCCAGAATTGCATGCAGAAAAGTTTACATTCAGGATAGGCCATGATCATGGCTGGGTTGGCTTAGGCCTGGATTCTGCTATTGCTGGGACATAAGTCTTCGCAGCCGGGACTCGCATTGGGATCATTGCCAGAGAACTGGGTGAATCTTATAGTTCATCTTACAACTGTAAGGCTTGCGGTATGATGCCTTAAGAGAGGGGAATTCATTATTGGCCCCTGGTTGGCGAGCAGGGGGAAGAATGGCTCCAGGCTCCCCAAGGACTGCACCGGGCAGGGGGGCCTTGTGTCAGACTGTTGGTGACCCACGGTAAATGACTGGAGGGGGCAAACCTCATTCTCATTTTTGTCACATGACGGTTTGGCAAGTTTGTGTAACGTATCATTGAGTTTGGAAGCCAAGGTGAATAAAACCCTCTCATTCATACTTAAGGATGAATGGGTCAGAGGACTATGTCTAGTGTGCTGGAGTGAGGGGTCTTCTTGAAGTTGCAAAAGAGCCCTGGGTGAGGCAAGGGGAAGGAAGAGGAGAAAGATACTCTGTACAGGAGCACCTCCTGTTGTGGGAAGGAGTCAGTTGAGGCCCTGTATGTCACCGATTCCTTTGGTCAGTGGTCAAACACTGCAGAGACTGCTAAAAGACAGCAAATCAGAGCAGTGATGACCAGTGGGAGGAGATCAGTAGTGATGACAGGGAGTGGCAGCCGAGCAGAGAAATGATCATGTGGGAGCAGCTGTAAAAAAACACCAAGAGCAGAAACCGGGACAAAGCCAGACCTTAGGACCTTCTATCCCCACTTCACCTGGGATTGCCTGTTCCAAACCTGGACTTGGCTGAGCTTAGGCACATCTGTGTATGGGGTGCAGTAAGTTTGGCTAGTTTGAAATGTTTCATTTTATGAAGTATAGAAAATCATTAGAAAAGCACAGTTTCAACATTCAAGCTACTTAATTTGATGAAATGTATTCCAATTCTTCCTTTCCTCTTGTCTCATCTCCTCTCCATCACCTTGTCCCCAAAATTATCTTTCGATTTAATAGAGAAATGTCAACAATGAAAGGTGTTTTTTTCAGTAAGTTAGAAGAACCTGAAAACTGTGTTGCTTCCTCAGCTATAACTAGCATTTCTAGCATGTTGCTACAATATTTAGCACTTAAGTTGCTAAAGACATGACAGGTTCCTGGTCTACTGGAAGTTAATGGGAGCTTTGCCATTGACTTTAGCTCATGAAGATCAGTAATGTTCCACTCTGCTAGAAAAAGGGTTGGAAGGTAAAATGAACCCAACTGTCCCAAAACAAGACTCTTAGTAATATTTACAATGTTGGAAAGTTTCCGTTGACTTTAATAGTATCAAAGCCTTACAGCTGGGAAACTCCATTGCCTTCAGGTTGTGTTCTTGGTGATTGCACACTGGGATTGCACAGCTGGGACTATGGGGCTCCATGACTGGTATTTAGTAAGTAAGTCTGCTGATGGGGCACAAGAGAGAACAGAAATCTACTCACTCTTACTTAGTGGCAGGGCTTAAGGGAGAAAGCAGCAGTGAGGAGTTATTCCTGACACTTAACAGGGAAGATCTGACTGGACTCACATGGGGCAAAGAGGAATCAGGAGGTGCTCTCAGTTTAAACTCACTATGCATGGCAGAACCACACTGTAGGAGGGGAAAGGGGAAAGAAAGAGGTGAGGCTGCAGGTCCCGGCTGTGGAGGAAAGGGCAGAGCTTGTGGGACAGAAGGAAGCAGCTGTGAGCTTAACAACTTCCTTGGGATCAAGATAGACATTAAGAAGCCAATTACATTGTCTTCTGCACCTATTCTCTGCCTGTCACTGTGATCTGCATGTAGCTGCCCTTCTCCTCTTGTTTCATCGGATTTTCCCATTGTTTCCTTTTATCAGCAAAGTAAAACAAATGGGAGAAAGGGGGAAGGACGCAGAGATGCAAGAGGTGATGTTCAGTTCCTCTAACTCCTGTGTTCCTTCTGTAGGATGAAGCACAGCCTGGCAGCACAACACGTCTTCCCAGCCCTTCTGTAGCATAAAAACTAAGGAATATGGTTACTGAATTCAGCCAGACCCATTCACTACTTAGTAGCCTACGTGGAGACTCTGCTAGGGGAAGAGGTTGACTGGGAAAAAAAGACCCCATAATCAACCCCAGAAATAGCAGCAGCTTCTGTCTTCCTGTCTAATGCTCAACACTTGCTGACCTGGTGTGAATCAGCATAGGACCATTGAAGTCACTGGAGCTTAAGCATGAAGGGAGCTAGGCTGATACACATCAGCTCAGGATCTTGGCCAGTGGGTGCATCGACACATGAAATGAAGGCGATGCAATAAACTCCAAAGCGGTTTGTACCAGAGTGCACTGCTCCCGGGCTCAGCATCTACACGTGCATCCGGGACAGCAGCGCTGAGCCAAGGCAGAGCAGCCCTAGGCTGGCAGCAGGCTCAGGGGGTCACCCCCAGGCTCTGGGTGGTGGCATCAAGTGGTGGAGGGGCAGATCGGTGCACAAGAGTGCCAAAACTGCAGAGCCATGTGGCTACACAGCAGGCAGGAGTCTGGCCCCCTGCTGCCTGGGCACAATTTATGCCTGTGGTCACCACCTATGCATGTGCTGAGTCGCACTTAATTACTCCACTGTAAGACAGTACAGCAGAGTTAATTAGTTTACTGTGCCCTAATACTAGCACACGTGTAGACTGTGATGCTTCAGTGTGGATCTGATTAGTGTACTCCACACTAAAGTGTGCATGCAGATGCCCCCAGTGAGTGCAACAGTGCCACAGTACAGTACACAGCACAAGGGCAGGACAAAAAGTCCCTGCCACCCCCTGCTCACCTGGTAACACCGTGAGGAAAGCACTGCGAAAGCTGTATCCCATCGTGTTTGCCCCCAGGCAGATGTACATGCCAGCATCCTCTTCCTTGGCTCGTGTTATCATCAGTTTGTTTAAGTAGGAGCCATCGGGACGGGACCAGACCTCCCCAGTGGGCAGCACGACGAACTTCTGCCCCCCGACATCGATGGTGGAATTGTACTTGTTCTCAGTGCCATACTCTACCCTCTTCAGCCACTGGATGACAGGCTTGACGTCGCTGCGGACCTTGCACTGGAACGAGGTGGTCCCACCATAATCTACTGTGGTGTTCACGGGATGCGTTCCCGTGAGGATGGGCTTGGACCTCGTCCTCTCTGAAAATACAGATCAGATGTGGCTTAGATAAAGATTGCATTTATGGCTGCTTGTAATCTTTCACATTCAGAATCTGAAAATCCTTCCCTCAGCAGTACACAATCAGGGCCCTCGAATTCTTGTCTAAGGGGTCGTTCCTATCTTGATGGTGATTCTATGATCTCAGCTAGCTTTCAAACCAGACACACTGGTGTTCATCAACATTAACTGAAGTAGCGTGGTCCAACCCCAAAACTAAGCAGACCCCTCCTGCTGGCTGTCGAGAGCAGTACAGGCTCGATACATAGAGCTGCATTTCTAGATGCCTATGCTAGAGAACTATGCTAGGCAAAGTTATTTGGGTAAATGTGATATCTTTTATTAGACCAACTGAATAGTTGAAAAAAATGTTCTTTGCAAGCTTTTGGGCACAGGCACCCTTCTTTAGACATAGGGAGTGCATTGCCAGTGGGAAGTAGTAGGGGGCATGGGACTCTCCGACACTTACCAAATGAGCTACTAATCCCCCTCTTGCACCACATGTGCACAGTTCTGGCACAACTGCAGTACTCCAGGGCAAGGCCTAACCATTGTCGCTAGCCCTCAGGTTATCCCAGAGTAGAGAGAAGTGAAGAAGAGGCAGGGCTGTGCTGCTGAATGTGCATAGAGGTGAAAGCATGATGTATGAGGTCCAGGAGTGGCTGCAGTCACAACTTTCCTTCCTACAAGTAACAGAGGGAACATGTCTCCTGAATCCCTATGCTAGGCTTTCACAGTGTACTCTGGCCCCTGGGGCACATGCCTCGTTGCAGTTATACTTTTGTTCTGGAACAGGGGCAATAAATGCCCTGGGAAAGACTGAGAAGGGCAAACAGCAGTGACACTTCCTCTGGCCAAGGAATCATGTAACATGTCAAGTTGACTATTATGCCACAAGCATGTTTGGTGTGGACCATGGGGGTGGCCAGAGCAGCACCTGGTCAGCTCTGTTTGGGAGGCAGGTACAGGTAATCTTACAGGCAATGGTGGAGCCCTGCATGTTCTCTGCCAGAGCTTCAGGCTTCTGTGCACTTTATCCAGGGGGCTTTCCTGTGGGCCCACAGCTGGCTCAGAAGAGTTGCAGCTAGGGTCAGGAGTGTTCTCTATTGCAGCATGGCCTAGTCTCTCCACAGACTTCTGGACTGACCAAAGGAGAGGAGACGAGCAGGTCCTTACTCCACCTCCCACACTAACTGGTGGATGCTGGTGAGTGAGGGCTGTGTCCCCTTCCTGTGTGCAGACCTGCTACTTCAGTGTGTGCTTCTTGCAATGTCCCACCAGGGTTGGCCAAATGCCTTTGGGAACCTGGCACTGAGAGGGGGGGCGGGGGGACTGGTCATGACTGAAGGAAGTTTAAATGTGGGAAGGATGGCTTCAGCCACCCCGTCTACCTCTATCTACTAATACTTTCTCTGGACTAACTGTAAAACCTGGAGCAGCCTGTTGGCTGAGGAGAGCTCCAGAGGCCTCTTGCCTCCCTAGCCAGGCAACAAGGGAGCCAAAGGCCTCCCTTGCCTAGGACAGTCTTCCCTTCCCTCTAAGCATCCTGCCCCTGAGCCCTACAGGATTCCCCTGCTCATTAGGAAATCAAGACATCACAGCACAAAATTAGACACATTAATATCCTAAATGACCATAGTTCTAAATGACCACACTGGCCTACTATTATTATGCTATTAATAGTTATGGTGTTCAACACCCTGTAAATTTAAAGACTATCCTTTATTTTCAATGACACAATCTATTCTTGTGCTGGCATCAAACAGTCCATATTTACAATCAGTTTTTAGA